GGGTGCAGACTGCGTGGAGGCCGGCCCCCTTCCCTGCAGGAGGTGCGCGCTCGAGGACCTGGCTGCGCCCCGGGCGCGAGGATCCTCCGGAAGGGGCCGCGCGGGCTGCAGCGCCCCCAGGCAGGGAGCCCCAGCGTGCGGGCCTCGGCCCCCAGGCACTAGCGGCGGCACCGCAGCTCTGCTTGGGGAGACCGTGCTGCAACATTGTGAGGCCTGACCTGGCCGGTGGGCCGGAATTCTGGCCCACGCCCACCTCCGGTGGGCCTGCCAGGCCCTCCCCTCCCTCACCCCGGGGGACAGGGACACCCTACCTGGGGGGTAACGGGGGCAAGACCACTTTCCGTGATGTTGTTTTGTTCAGAATAAGCTAAACCAGGTTTTTTCCTCCCTGGAAGAGGGTGTCTAGGCTGCGAAGATGTCCATGGGTCCTCCACCACTTTTTCAATTCCGGCGCTGCGTGGCTTTGGGGTACAAGGCTGGGTGTCCACAGCCCCCCTTCTGACCTGGCTCTGGGGCTCTCGGGGTGCAGGGAAGCAGTTTGACAGAGCCGAGCCCCAGGCTCAGCTCACAGCTCTCTCCAAGTACAGTTTAGGGGAGTTTTCCAGAGTGATTCATCTGGTGCAGTTGGTTGTTTTAAAGCCACAGGCTGTGGGCTGGAGACGCCCTTTGAATTTTTAACCTTGTTCTCGCACTGGGTAGTTTAACGATTCAGGGAACTGTTTACTAGGAGTCCAAGCTCTATCTACAGTCAGTTAAGAGCAGTGAGCTCAGTAAACACCCTGAGTCCAGACCTGGTGAGTCTGGGTCATCCCTGGGCCCACTTTTAACACCTTGCTCACCAGTCACAAGTATGCTCGTGTTTCCGTGTCCAAGCGTTGCTGACCGGTCACGGGTTAACTCCTGTCTGCACTTATATTAATATAAGTAATTTTAAGGTCTGAAAGCAACGTAGAGTTTTTAAAAAGTAGCTGACCACACAGGCAAGTTCTGGCTCAAAATAGCCAGTCAGCAACTAAGATAGTGTGTCTCTCTTGCAAACATCTTGTAACCTCTATAATTTTAAATAATGACCACAGCAAAGTGGGCACAGGTCCCCAGCCAGTGAAAGAGCCCCCCCCTCCACTGGTGGTCCCCAGTGCTCTGTGGCTGTGATGTTATGGGAGAGGTCGTGGGTGCCAGGGTCTGAGGACTGGTGGCTAGCGTCACATACATCTATCACCGCCCTACAGTGTCAGACCTATGGCCCAGATAGTTGTAAACTAGTTGTGATTAACTATTTGGTCTCAGGGTAAGTTCCTCCAAAATTCAATTTTTAGCTCTTGAATTGATGCTATTTCTTTCCAAATATATATATTTGCCAGCTATAGCTTCAGCCTCTGAATTAAATGTCTCCGCTTCTTTTTATCCTGGCTGTACAAAGTCTATTTTAAAAGTGGGCAAAGGACACCACTGAGTGCATGCGGGGCAATGAAGACCTCATGCTCAAGACGTGCCAACATTCTTCGCTGCTCTATCAAAACTCTGAACCTGTACTTGAAGAGAGTTTCAGGTAAGTGCAAGAAATTCTTTGACATTGTAGTTTCACCTTTTGAGCACATACAGTAATAGCAAATGGCCCTCTGGTCATTTGCCAGTCACACCTTTTTGGGCAAGTCTGTCCCTAGGTGGCCAGGCCACGCTTCCCTAGAGAGGACTGTGCTCTACAGACAAGATTACATGCCAGTCAGAAAGGGAGCTCCTGGTAGAGAAGGGTCAGTGTCAGAAGCAAAGCAAATCCACAGGCCAATTCCAGCCCACCCCTCACATCCCCAGGGTGGTGACAGCCCTGCCTGGCACCACTTTTGGAGAGGAACTCAATTTGCCATTTCCATAGATGCTGCCAGGCCACCCTCTTCATTCAGCAGCTTTGTATGTTCTGATTCTCGGGGTGGCGAGAAGTCAGAGACACCTGTTAGGAATTCAGTTACATGTCGTTGTCTTGTGTTTCCAAAATGACCATTTGCAGTTCCCATCATCATCAGCTTTCAGTGGCCCCCACACCTTTGGGGTAGAAGCTGTTTGCCAGCTGGTCCCCAGTGTTCCCAGGACTGGCCCAGCAGTTCTGCTGACAAAGCCACATTTGGTCTGAGACACGGCAACTAGGGCAACCACACAAGATGAAAAAGGGCTCATGACTGTGTTTGGGGCAACTTGTATGCTAATTAGCCAAAAATAACGGTACAGCTCCATAAGACCATCTGGCAAATATACATTTGACGTTTTTAAATAAAAATTGATTCTCTAAAGACATTTGGGGGAGTGATTGCCGGGTTGCTCACATCACCAAATGACACTTTCTCTCAGGGGCTTGCTGTTCCCATCAAGAATGAACCGACCCACAACACCCCACTCGCCCACCCAGGATCCAGATCCTCCTGCTCTCTAACCTGTAGAGAAGCGTCTGTGGCCTTCATCTCGTTGGCATCTGGGCAGCTTTTTGAGGTACATGAAACCTGTTCTCTTACAGAAAAGAAAGACACAGAGTCAAAGTGGGGAACGGGAAATGACACGTGTGCTTTGTGGGCGCGGGCAGGTGGTGCAGATGCAGTTTCCTCTTGATTCCTCACGGCAGACCTCCCTGCACAGCTCAGGACACTGAGGCCCACGTGGCCTGAGTCACGTGGCCCCAGCTCTCTGGACGCTGACCGGTGGCCACAGGGCACTGTCCCCTCACGCAGTGGTCTCACCAGTGTGCTCTCTTCCCTGCAGGATGTGAAGCAAGTGGGCAAAGACTGGCCTCTGCGTGCCTCCCCGTCGCTAGAATGTTCCTCATGAATGCCCCTCCTGTGCTTGCTCTCCAGTCCACATGGGAGGCCTTCGGGCCGCCGGGGAGCTGTAGGTTTCCCGGCCACTTCGCGGAGCCCGAGGGAAGGGCGGCGGTGAGCGCCAGGGTGCAGATGATCATCAGCACGCTTCAGGGCGACCGGGCCGCGCGGGGCAGGAGCCAGGAGCGCGCCCTGCACAGAGGTGAGAGGGGCCGTCACGCCCAGCCAGCTGCCAGCCCCGCCTTGGCTGCCTGTGGTCTTGCTGCTGATTTTGACCCCAACGGTGAGGAGGAAGCCACAGACTTCGGCCCCTTGGTGCTAGATTCAGACAGTGATGACTCCGTGGACCGGGACATTGAGGAAGCCATCCAGGAGTACCTAAAGGCCAAGAGCGGGGCAGCCCAGCCCAGGGCTACCAACACAGACAGTCAGTGCAAGCCAGAGCCTCCTCAGACCAGCTCCACGACTACCCTGTGTCCCCCAAAACTTGCACCTGGCTCCAGAGGTGTCCCTGGTGTCCGTGTTGGGGCCGGCGAGGCCCCAGGCTCCACCTCCCCAGTCAGCGTCAGCAGCGAGGACTCCTTCGAGCAGAGCATCCGGGCAGAAATAGAGCAGTTTCTAAGTGAGAAAAGACAACACGAGACCCCAAAATGTGATGAACCTGCAGATGAAAAACCAGACCCCAGCGATAACTTGACCAAATTGGCACTCAGATCCAGCAAAGAGCCGGCCAGCAAGGCGCACCGGCAGGAGTTGGCAGGAGCTTGTAAGGAGTTTGTGTTCCGGAAACCTCCCAGGTTGGCAACGACAGCTGCACCGCCCAGAAACCTCAGGTCTAAAGTCACCACTGAGCCGGAGAGCTTGGGCAGCACGAAGCCAGCAACCCCTAGGCCGGCAGCCACCTGCCGCGCTGCAGAAGCCCAGGGAAAGGGTAGGGCCAAGAGGAACCCGGGCCCCGGGAGGAGAGGACAGGGAGTCAAGAGCACAGCCCTGGTGTGTGAGGCCGCTGACTCCAGCAGCGACGACGGCATCGAGGAGGCCATCCAGCTGTACCAGCTGGAGAAGAGAAAGGAGGCGAGCGGGGACCCGCCACAGAAAACCCCACCAGGGGAGGAGCAGCCTGATCCTCTTGCCCATGGCACGAGCCATGCCACAAAAAGTGCCTTGCCCGAAACCCATAGAAAACCACCAGGCAAGAAGAAGCCAGTGGCCTCGAAGGCCGTGGACCTCAGCCCAGGTGGCCTTGACCCTGACCATCCCTCCAAGCCACCAAAGGAAACCAAAGCCCCTGCACCCCCAGGAAACACAGTGGCCAAGAGCGAGTTTGTGGACCGGTCCTCATGCCGGGCAGACACATCTGCCGAGCTAATGTGCGCTGAAGCGATCCTAGACATTTCCAAAACCATCCTGCCAGCCCCCGGGGAAGGCAGTGACAGACCGCTCTCTGGCAGTCCACTCCCTTGTCCCCCAAATGTGCCTTCCCGCTCAGACGGTGACAGCAGCTCTGTGGACAGTGATGACAGCATAGAGCAAGAGATCCGGACATTTTTGGCACTGAAGGCGCAGTCAGGGAGTTTGCTGGCCAGAACGGACAGCTGCCCACAGTCCACACAGAGCCCGCTGCCGTCACCCGGCCCCAACGGGCAGGCTGGTGGCCCCAAGGCCCCTGTTTCTAAAACACCGGAGCCGTCGCTGAGCTGTAAAAGGAAACGCAGGGGAGGTGCCAGTGCCGTGTGGTCATCCACACCCAAAAAACCAAGAGAGATGGCGAAGGAGGGTGCGCCAGATGCTAACTTCAGCCAGGGAAAAGTCAGTGAGGCCCCTGGAAGGGAGGGCGAGACCAGGGGGCCGCTCCTCTCCTGCAGGACGGTTGGGCTGGGTGATGAGCGTGTCGCCCCAGACTTGAGGGGTGGTGTGTCGCCAGGCCACAGGAAGGTGGTCGAGGCGAGGGGTGCGGACGAGAAGGAGAGTTCTGAAGACAAGAGCAGCTCGCTGGACAGTGATGAGGACCTGGACACCGCCATCAAGGACTTGTTACGGTCCAAGCGGAAGCTCAAGAAGCGGTGTCGGGACCCCAGAGCTGTGTGCAGAAAGAAGGTCAGGTTCAGCACCACCGAGACCCGGGCCCTGGGTCAGCAGAGTGACTTCCAGAGAGGCTGGAAAGACAGAAGCCCTCCCTTGTTGAAAAGCTGCCTCTCAAAGTCCAAAAGGGACAGCAGGGAGGACCCGCTGAGGAAACCTTCCAGCGTCTTCTGCAGCCGGACAGAGAGAACAAAGCCGGGCAGCGCTGGGCCCGTGGATGCGCCCCTGGCCCTCCCACCAGGACAGAGAGCTGGCGAAGGGCGTCTGTTCTCCAGTGAGGCAGAGGCCCTCCACCTTCATGGCTCAGCCACCAGCCCCGGCTCTCGGTCTGATGACAGCAGTTCTGTGGACAGTGATGACAGCATTGAGCTGGAGATCAGGAAGTTTTTGGCCGAAAAGGCCAAGGAGTCCGTGAGTGGTTCAGAAATTCAAGGAGGAGGTCCCACCACTCTTGGGGCGGGGAGCATGCCCAGGCCAGAGCCACTGTGCCGGAAGGTGGTGGCCCCAGCCCTGGCCCTTCAGCCTGGCATGTGCACACGGAGCCAGAGGGGCAGGGGGACCCCTCAGCTGGCTGCGGGACCCAGGGGTGGCCCCCGCACAGAGCAGGTTTGCCTCCCCGCTGCTCTGTCCAGAAGCCAGCTGGTGCCACCCAGGAGCACCAGTAATACTGTGTCTGCCAGAAGGTCACCCGCAGGTAGGAGAAACCTTTGTCCTCACAAAGACCAGAGCCCACAAGGGCCCGGGCCCGCCCCCGGAGATGGTGCTTTCCATCAGCTGCCTAGTTGTGCGGAAGCGGGCGCTCGGGCTGGAAGTCCCTGCGGGGCCTTGCCCGGGGCATCTCAGAGCCGGAACGCACTAACTCGGAGTCCCGGAGCAGACAGGGAGGGGGGACCCCAGGCCGGCCTTGCCCTCCCATGGGGGGACTTCGCCCACCAGAGCCGGCTGCAGAGCATGTGGGCACTGAGCTCAGAAGGCAGGGAAACGGTGTGGAAAGGGGGCCTGGGGAGCGAGAAGGAAAAGGGCCCCGAGGGCCAGGCCCGGGGCACCCCCGGCCTCGCCACGGACCCCAAGAAAGGCCTGCCCTTTGCAGGCTTCTCCCCGCTGCTCTCCACACAGTTATTCCACTTCGGGAATGCTGTGTCCTGGGGGCCCAAGCCCGCCGGCCTGTTCAGCCCCGGCCTGGGCCTGCCCCTGCAGGGCCCGTCCTTCTCAGCCTTCAGAGAGGCGCCAGCCAGCCACGGCCCCGTGTTCGGGAGCTCACACCTGCTCGTGAAGAAAGACGGCGCGCGCTGGCCCAGGAGGAAGTCAGCGGCCGCGCTCAGCCTGCACGACAGCAGGAACTCGGGCTCCGACGAGGACATTTTAGACCTGAGGTATAGACAGAGGGTGGATCGAGACGAGGAGGACCAGGAGGCCTGGGGCAGCGACACCAGTGAGTTGAGCGACACCTCCGTGGAGGACGGCAGCCCCGTGGCCAAGGGCAAAGTCCTCAAGCTGTGAGGAGGCACCCTGGCGCCAGCATCCGTGGACGGCGCGGATGTGCGCGTGCCTGTGTGTGTATAGGCCACACTGGGTAGGGGGAACGGGGCCACTGTAACCACCCTGTACATATGTACACTAAGGGGAAACTATGCCCTTATTTAACACGTGTCCTGGTAAATATGATTTTTGTAGCTTTTTGTAAGTTATTTAAAGTGCTGTAAAAACTATTTTTGGAAAATATAGCTGTTTGATTTTGTAGGGCATCCCTGACTACAATTTCTGTGGCCTCCGTAGCACTCACTGGGTTCTGCCCGTCGCGGCCAGGTTTAAGTGACTCTGAGACTGGTACTTTGGGGTGATTGCTGTGGAAACATCCAGCAGTGCCTGAGGGGGCAGCAGTGACATACCAAGAGCACCCCCAAGCCCTGAGGTCTCCGTCCAGAGGCTCCTGGACTTCACTGGTTATAAGGGACCCTGGGCCGAGAGGCTGAGCACATTCCCTGAACACTGAGGCCTCAGCCTTCCACTGGAGAACTGTCAAAGCACAAAAGCCAGCGATCACACTGGCCTCTCCCGGTGCATGTGGAAGTCCCAGGAGGGAGCTCGGGCAGGTCACCCCAGTTCCCCTGGGACCTGTATTGTCTCATGTCCAGTCCTGTTCAATGACTACATGGTTCTATCAGCTCAATAAACCTCTTTGTACACAGGAGCCACTGTTCTCATTTTTAGCCAGGGCCCTACATTTAGCCTGTGCGTCTTAAATGTCCGTGTCCAGACCCCTTGAGCACCGAGGACAGAGCCAAGTCCCCTGCAGGGAACAGCCAAGCGGACGCTTCAGCAGCTTTAGGGGGGCCTGCCTCCCGTGGCAGGGTTGTGTCTGGCTCTGAGGATGGCTGTGGGCAGGTTCCCAGTCTTCTGCTGGCACTATCGGTGTTTGAGTTCAGGATAGGGATGACCATGGCATCCTGTGCCTTTTGCTCTGCTCTGCTCTGCAGGCGTGCCTGTGGCTACTATAGACACAGAAGGGACAGCTCTGTCACATGGGCTGGCCCTGACCAGTCACCATGTTTACGTGTGTTTATCCAGCAAACTTTCATCGGTTGCCCCTAGTTTTAAAACTCTCCCTCACAATTTAGCTGCGATGGCCCTGGAGCAAGGTTTACTTTGCAGCCGAATGTAGTTGGTATCCTAACGTGCAAGTCTGCAGGCCCTGCACCCCTTGGTTTTGGCAGTGACTCACCCGTGCCCACATGCGGACCTGTGCCGGCACCACAGTCAACATCTGCCTGGTCACACGCTGGGACGAGCAGGCCCGGGGACTCCCACTGTTCGGTGCTTGCATGATGTACACTTGAGATCTCCATCGTCAAATATTCACTCAAGTGCTACCAGGAAAAATTTCACGTGATCCATCATTTAAATTTAATTTTTAAGGAGTGCATTGGACACTCAAGAAAAGTCAGCTTGTTTTATACGTGAGAATTGGTTTTTTAATGCTAATAAATCAAGCACTGCTCATGAATCAGTTTATGTAGTTCGTCCTCTGCGAGGTGGCCCGATGTCTGGGACCTGTTTCCCTTCTTTCAGCACCTTCTTCACTGAGACCTCCACTCCCTCTGCCCACCCCAGCCTCCCAGACCCGGAGCCTTCACACCTGCCTCTTCCTGCCTCCAGAGTTGCCACCACCTCTGCGCCTCGCAGCCCCACCTGTGCGCTCACCATCTCACACGTGCCTTGTTTTCACAAACCAGACACACACCTGGTGCCGGCCCCTCTCTGCCAACAACATCATGTGAAAACAACTGCTTCAGCACCCCATACCCTGGGCAGGAGGTTCCCCGGCACCCCGTCTGGAAAGGGGGCTGCAGTGGAGCAGATGGGAGCGCTTTCCCGGGGTGACAACTGGCTGGCTGTTTGCAGCCTCTGTCCCACACCACGGCTCCGGGCCTGACCGTGCAGTATGGCAGTGTTGTGGGAACTGCTGCCTAAGACACTATATACGCACCCACTGGTGAAAGAGGGTCCCAGGTGGACAATGTGTTGTTATTCAATCTAGCTGTGATAGTGGCGACCTGCAGGCGAGTCACACCCAAAGAGCCAGGGAGTAGGGGTGGTGGGTCTGCATGTCTGGGCCCGGCTTCATTTCATTTGACGCAAGGAAATGGGATGTCCAGTGCTCTGGGGTGGGTCATGGGGGTCACAGTGTCTGCCAGAACTGTCCACTCTCCTAGTCATGAGGCCGAGGGACAGGAGTGGGAATAGAAGGAGAGGAAAGTGCTGGCGGTGGGTGATGGGTGCTCACCACCCACATCCCGCACGGAGGGTCCTCTGTGGGGAAGAGTTGCTCCAGCCTGTTGCTCTGAGTCTGAATAGGCTGCTGGCGGCTCCTTGCAGCCTGAGATGCACTTGCAGTGGGAAACACTGCGCCTTATCTGCGCGCATGCAAACAGGAAAGGCATCGACCGCCACCTTGACCCCCCTCCAAGTTAACTGAAGGGCCTGTTAGAGGATGAACCAGGACAAATCCCACCTCCCTGTGGGAACAGGTTTTTGTTACCCTACATACTTCGGTCTCCTTTTCTCTAATTGTTCAGATTGGATTTAAGATTGTGAACGAGCTCAGTACAAGGGCAGAAGAGGCGTTTTCTTTCGCTTCTCATCTGGCCTTCTGCCTGCGATCACCCAGACAGGACAAGTTCCGGGGGCCTCCCGTTAGCCTGTGGGTCTCCACTCCCTGCCCCCGCAGGACAGAGATTCCAGTTTGAAAATATGCTAACAAGATGAAAAGCTCACGAAATCTGTAACCACTGCGGTTCCTGAATGACTTATGCAAATGTGTAGGAAATTAGGGCCGGGAAGGGAGGGCAGACACTGGGACCTCGCCCCTCCCAGGACATCCCCAAGGCAGGTTCAGGCCCAGGGCCACCTCCTTTGGACCCTAATTTTCCCATCCAAAAATAGAGGTGCGGGAGTAAGACTTGCCCCAGGTGTGCGTGTCAGAGGAGGTGACAGCGTCAAAGCCTTTTGGAAAACCGGACAGACAGGGAAGAACAGCCACTGGCAGCTCACTGGGGCGCAGGCGCCAGACCACGGACACTGGGAGCCGGAGCTACAGATAGTGGCTGAGTTTTGGGAAGATGACACGTGTACCAAAGCTATCTCTGGTTTCCATCTTTCCAGACAATTATTCTATTTAGAAAAATTGCACAGAGTCTAACTTCACCTCGACGCATGAGCAGCTGTTACAGAAATGTCAGTTATTAGCTATGACCAATTAAAACCCTTCAGTGCCCCATTATGCCAGCATTCACTTTGTGACACCGGCTGGTGAGCTTGGCATCTTTTTTTATTGGCCCTTTTTTTTTTTTAGGAAAATAAATATAGCTCAATTTTAATTATGTTTAACTCATCAACCTTCCTTTAAGAAAACTCTGCCTGCCCAAGGTTAAGCACACAACCTTTCTGTGTTTCCTCCTAGCAGCTTTGTTGTTTGACTTTCACATTTGCCTGTGGATCCCTTAAGCCTCTCCCGGCCCGGGGGTGTCAGCTGGAGCCCAGGGACATGTTCAGGTGCTCACCACTTCTAAGGTAGAAGAAAAAGCTATTTTGCTGCTGGCTTTATCCCACCCCCACCCCCAGCTGCTAATCTGCTCTCCAGGCAGCAGCCAAGGAAGGAGTCATTCTTTCTGGTGAGTTTAGAAACTTGGTTGGTAGGCATTCTTTCTTTTTTTATTTCATCAGAGGCTGAACACGGAAGAGTTCTTAGTATTTTGGTGGTTTTAATGAAGGGTTGTCAGAACTGATTTTCCGTTAGATGCCTGGAGTCTCGCTGGTTTTCCAGCTCAGAGAAAGCACGTTATGCAGATCCTGGCTTCAGGCGCAGCTTTGTATCTTTTATTAAATGTATTGATTTTCTCTGGAAACCATTTTCATTCCAAATTGGACTTGAAGAATGTTGCCAAAATGTTTACTGTGTGTGTTAATAACAAAAGGTTTTAATGAAAAAATAACCAGTTGGTGTTTAATTTCTTCCCAAATTCATATACGAGTAAAATCTCTTTGGGTAAAAGTCTCTGTAAAGAAGATGTTATGGGTGGTATGTAGCAATGGTTTCTTCTGTCTAGTTTCCAAATGTAACGAGCATATCTCGGTCTGAAAGATTCGGACTGTCACAAAAATTGCTTTTTTATTGAGGACCCTCTAACTCCTGGTAAATACGGATTGAGGACTGACTACACAGAGATAAAAATCCACTTACTACAGCTGTTACCCCTGCCTGAGAAAATTGTTTTGCCCTGCCTGCCTTTTTTTTTTCTTTTTTTTCACTTTTTATTGAAAATTTTAAATGAACACGAAGGTGAGAACTCCCATGTGGGCATCGGCCCCTCTGCGGCAAGCAGCAATTCCAGCTGTTTCATTTAATATGCCTCCCTCCAGGCCTTCCTTGTGGCTGGAGGATGTTCCCTGGGACTCCCACTCTGTCCCCTGTGGCCCAGGGACCGACGTGACCCTCCTGCCTGCTCCTGCCTAGCACTTTCCGGAAGGGCTCTGCAGTGCCCCTTCCTTGCCCAGCCCCATCCGCCCGGGGCAGGGCACCCTCCCCTCCTTCCACGGCTGAGCAATCATGAGTAGAAACAAGGCTCCCAAACAGAGACGCAGGTGGACAGCGTCCAGGACAACACGTGGGTCCCTGGATGCCTGAGGACCTGCTTCTTGATCACAGCGGAGTCAGGGACGCAGGATGTGGCAACATTTTAATACAAAGTCAGGGTAGCATCCGCTCCATCTCAGATGTAAGATGGGAAAGTAGGACATCACAACCCTGTTTTTCTAATCTAGAGAGGAAACATATTTTGAGGGAAAGCAGTGAATTTAGTACTTTCACCATTGGGCAAGTTATCAAAGGTGGGGGGGTGACAATTCTCCAGGTCGCTTCCACTGGAGCCGGGGAGCCCTGGCTGGAGGGGAGGTTCACCAGCACTTCAATCGTTGCAGATGGATGGCCTGCTGACGTTGTAGCTGGGGTGGAAGTTCAGCCGGTCGTATGAGGTGATATAGTTGTCAGCACCCGTCACGATGCTCTTCTCCATGCAGACGTTGAAAGAATTGTTCTGGAACATTCCAGCAGCTGCTAGTTGTCTGGAAAATTGATTTGAATTTGCATAGAATACTTTCTGGAAGTAAAAATGGAACACAACAATGCAGTCAGTCAGTCATTAGGTACTTTTGGAAGAAAATTCATAAGAAAATGTCTCTATTCCTAGGAAGCAGTGAAGCCAATGCCAGCAGGATGGTCCCCCAGACCATCCCAATTCGTGCTTGGTAACTGGGAAAAATTATAAAGAATGCTTCCTTCCACTGTTACACAAATGGATGGGTCAATTTTGGGGCTACCTGAGTATGGCATGTCCACACCTGGGTGTGGTTATGAGCCTTGATTTAGGGGTCCCGCCCGAAGCCACCCCCAGTTCCTCGTTTACAAACTGTGCTACTAGGCAGATTATTGGATTTATTTGCCTCAGAACTGACTGCCTTCAGTTGCAAGATTGGTTGTGTGTATGTGTGAATGGGGCCAGTCCTTCCCAACATCTAAGCAAGTCTACATGCACTTTTTGCATCTTTGAAAACATTTCATTGCTAGATCCACTCATTTATACCTGGCCCTGATCCAATAGGATCGGAGATGCCCCTCCCACTTTGCAATGTTGGAGCTTTGGGCCTCTTCTATCCCACCCCCATGATGTGTTGCCTTTTTGAGAAATCTAGGGGTTAGGTCTCTTCTAGACACATCCCACCTACTCGCATGCTCTTCTTTGCTTCCCGCTTACCGGCATCTCATGCACAGTGGGGGCTCTGCTCCCGTAAGTTTGGTTACTGGTCCTGTACACCGAGGCGGGTTCCTTGGTCCTGGCAGGTGTAAGAAACGCCCTCTATTTTCCATCCATTCTAATTCTGCCCAAGCCACAGCCTTAATGGATTTGATTGATGGAGCCTTGTTGGAAATGCCTCAGGTTGGAGATGTATCCCTGGATATGGGTTCCTAGGGATTGCCGGCTCAGCCCCTGGTCCCCTCTGCTCACCTCTGCCCTTGCCCTTCACAACTTAGACCAAAGCCCTAGAGAACTTCCAAGGGACAAGTGCTGGTCCTCAGCACCCATCGGTCCTGGCACACATGGTCATTTCCTGGGTAGGTGGGTAGGCCCAGAGCTGTGGCTCAGCCTCCAGACCCTGCCACTCAGGGGGGTCCCTCCATTTTCGAGCCTCCTGAGAACATACCTGCAGTCTCTAGTACGGACTCTATTGACAGAGCAGTAAGACTGAGAGGGCTGTGCCCCATACTACGAGATCTCGGGCATGACATGATCTTTCCACCCTCCCAGTCCTCTCTCCTGGAACACAAGGATAACAGATCCAACTCTCTGGGATCATAGAGGGGACTGAAGGCGGGAGGGCGGAGAAGGTGCTCACACCTTCACATCGCTGCCGGGCTGTGACGAAGGGTGTAGAGTTTGCAGTGCACAAAAACAGCTCACAGGTCACTGACTCAGCACGACTATGGACATGTGGCCGGATCCACCCTTTGCAGAGGCTCCTCTCAGTCTAGAGAGAAGTGGAGACTTACCCCCGGCCTCAGAACTAGGTTTTGTGACTTCTGCTGGAATCACCCACCGCGGCTGGATAACCACTGACTTGTGTGTCTAAAGCCCTGCGCAGCACTTTTGCAGCTCATTTGGTGATGAGCTGACCCCGCTTTTGACTTGGGTGCCAGGGCAGGCTGGGGGCCTGAGGACTCTTGCATGCAGGACAACCTGAGCAGAGCGCAGGACCGGCTGGACACCTGGCTACCCGCTGGAAGAGGTGGCCTCTCTCTCTTCTGCGTTTGCCGGGTGGACCCTACTTGTGGTGCTCACCTGTAGCCACGGAACCACGCCGGGTTGTTGAACCTGACCGGCAGGTCCTCCTTTACGTGGTAGTAGTCGCTGGTTTTCTCCAGGGGTGCCTGGGCCGCAGGCTCCACAGGCTCCGCGCACTCTCGGGGGTTCTCCTCGGACATCCCGCCGTCCACGGGAGCTGCACGGCGAAGAAAGGAAGGGTAAGGAACAGCCTCTCCGCAGCCCGCGCCGCCAGGATCGCGCGGCGTCCCGTTGCTAAGCGACGGCTTGGTCACCTGACTGGATAGGTAGCGTCCTTAAAGGCGCCGCGCCTCCCGGACCACGCCCCCCCGCTGGCCCGCGGGGCTGAAATCCGACGTCGAGAACCCGGATCGCGGGCGGGACGCCGCCGGAGCGCAGCGCGGCGCGTGC